TTTTCTGCATTACTTGATATGATTATATAATCTTTTGTTCTTTAGCCTGTTGATGGGATGTGGTATATTACATAGATTGATCTTTGAATGCTGATCCAATAATGCCTATCCTCACCCTGCCTCCTAGTTTCTTTCAAGATTTTTCTCTTTATCTCTGGTTTTCTGCACTTTGAATGTAATATATTATTATATAGGTTTTTGTTTGTATGTTTGTTTTATTCTGCTTAGTATTCTCTGAGCTTCCTGGATCTATGGTTTGGTGTTTGCCATTAATTTTGGAAAATTCTCAGCCATTAGTACCTCAAGAATTTCTTGTGCATTTTTTCTCTCTTCCTTTTGGTATTACAATTAAACATATGCTATACCTCTTGAAATTGTCCTATGATTCTTAGATATTCTATTCTGGAGTTTTTTGTTTGTTTGTTTTGTTCTTTTTTATCTGTGCATTCCAGTTGTTGATGTTTCTATTGGCATATCTTCAAGCTCACTGTTTCTTTCCCTTGCTGTATTCAATCTACTGATGAGCCCAGCCAAGGCATTCTTCTTTTGTTATAATGTATTTGATTTTCAGTATTTATTTTCTTTTGATTATTTCTTAGGGTTAATATCTCTGTTAGTATTGCCTATCTGTTCTTGTATGTTGACTTCTTTTTCTAGCAGAGCTCTTAACATGTTAATCGTTGTGATTTTCAATTCTTTGTCTGACAATTCCCAAATCTGTGTCTTATCTGAGTTTGGTTCTGATTCTTTCTTTGTCTCTGCTGACTTATTTTTTTTCTTTTCTTTAGCATGTCTTATAATTTTTTATGGAAAGCCAAAAAATGGTATATTGGATAATAGAACTGAGGTACATGGCTTTTTGTATAAGGTTTTATTTCAGTCTGGTTAGGAATTGGACTATGTTTAAAGATTGCTATAACTATGTAGCTGCCAGAGGCCTCCATTTCTTTTAGTATTCTTGTTTCTGTTGTCGTTGCTCTATGTTTTCCTAAGAATTTTCTCTCAAGTAAAATTTGTTTCTTTTTTTGCTTTCTTTTTTTTTTTTTTTTTTTATAGTGAGTGTGATGCACACTGTCTGGGGGATGGACACGTTTGAAGCTCTGCCTCGAGGGGGGAGGGGTGTCAAGGGCAATGTATGTAACCTTAACGATTGTACCCCCATTATATTCTGAAATAAAAAAAAAATAGAATTTGTTTCTTGCAGCTCCTTCAATTGTAATTCACCATCATTATGCTGGAACCCTGTTGTGGTAGAAAGATATGAGGAGGAGAAAGATTCTATCACGCTATAAGTAAATCTCAGTATCTAAGTGGGCCTATGTCCCTGGACTGTGACCTTCACAAGTGTTTCTTAGCCCCTTTATTCTCCCCTTTGGTGAGACAATAAGCCTGGGGGGTGGAGCTGGGGTTGAATAATTGTTCTTCCCCCAGATTGGGTAAGGCTCTTTTAAAGTCTTTTTCCTTTGTGAGTAGCCCTTAGGTATGGAGAAAGCTCTGGCTATATTTCAAAATAGTTACTTTTCTCCTCTTCCTGCCAGAACATGAGGAGATTTTTCTTGAATCTTCACTGTGAAAACATGATGGGGATCCTGGAAATAAAATTAATGAAAATGTAGAGATCCCCTCCTAAGACTGAGTTCCTAGGAGTCCTCACTCTCAAGCTAGTCTACGCTCAGCCTCCAGCAATTCACCAAAATTATGATTTAAGTATATCTACCAGCTATGGGCCAGCAGCTTCTGCTCCAGCAAGATGATCTCATCTGCGATTCTGTCTCTCCAGATTTTGAGGTGGTGGTGTCTCTCCAGAATTGAGGCTGTGACCTCAATTCTCTGATGATTTTTTTAAAAGGTCATTTATTTTCAGTTTGTCTAACATTTTTCTTGTTGTAAGGATAAGAATGACTATCTCCAATCAAGTTCTTTATAAGTCAGAGCTGAACCTGGAAGGTGAACCTCTTTTTTTAATAAATAAATTATATGAAAACTTTGTATTTTCTTCCACATTATGCCTAATGTAAAATTTTCAGAGTTTCTTAGTCCAGAAGATTTTAAAATGAATAAAACTGCATGTACTTAAAATTAAAGTAGGTAAATCTTAGTTATCCTAAGAATGATTTTACTTATACAACTCTGTAGCCGTGCCTTCTCATATTTACTCCTAAATGTCTCTAATTTGAAGCAATCCTACTTACTCAGAAAAGACTTCCTAAAGTGGTTGAGAATGGGAAACAAAGAAAAAAGGAAAAATTCAAGCCTGTCCTTTTCCTCTATGAGAAGCACCCTTAGGTAAGATGGAGGAATGAGGTTGAAGCTAATAGATAAAATGACATGCTAGTATCATGGAAATGAATTATGTATGCTATCCCAGGCATCCATTATGCTTAATTAGTAGGCTAAATAGAAAAGATGAGTGGAAAGAGTTTGGTGTATGTTATAAATAAAAACACCTCACAAGTTGTGAGATTCATTTTCTTCAACTTGTGAAAAATTCACTTCATTCAGTGGCTAGCAGAGTTTCCAAAGCCTTTATGTCCTATTCATCACCAGAGAAGGCTTATCCTATTCAAGATTTGACAGTCTTCTAAAGACCCACTCTGTGACAATTTGCTCCACAAAAGAGGGGTTGTATAGTAGTGCCTGGGATGTTGTCTGCCAGTTTCTATGAGTTATATCATCAGATTTTTAAAAAAAATTCTGCAGATTGCCAGGTGATATCTTTGGAGTTTACTTTCTTTTTAAAGAGTATAGTATAGGGTAATTTGCAATGCAAATAAAATGCTTCCACAAGTATTAATGCTTAGTTGTCAAAATATAGCTCTGTGACTTATATTGACAAGAAAGTATCATTAAGAACAATTATTTTTTTTCTAAAAATCTTTATATGTTAGCTAACTATTGCTGCTTTTAGAAACAATCCAAAACATAGTGGCTTAAAATGATGATAATCTTTTATTATCTTTCATGGTTTCTATAAGTCAGGGATATTTTTGGGAAGGGCTCAGCCAGGCATTTCTCTTTTCTTTGAGTCTTTTGTGTAGTTGCAGTCATATGTCGGCAGGTGCTATGGTCATCTCAAAGCTTTCCTGGAGCTAAAAGATCTTCTGTAAGGTGGCTCACTCGTATGGCTGGCAATTTGATGCTGGTTATTGGCCACGGACCTCAGTTCCCCCAACCTGGTTCTTTCCATTGGGTAGCCTGAGCATCCTTATGGCATAGTGGCTGATTTTCCCTTGAATAAGCAACCCAAGAATCCAAGATCCCTGGTGGAAGCTGTAGCGTCCTTTATAACCTAACCTTGAAATTCACACTGCCACTCCCAGACTACTTTCCTTTGGTCAACAGCTCAAGGCCTGAGTCAATATCAGGGAGTTCTAAGCAAGGGCATTATAAATAGCAGGAGGCATGGATCATTAAGGACATCTTAGAGCTATTGCTTGAACATTCATTTTTTATTTTTAGAGGTGTGCAGTAATATATATTATTTTTTAAATGTATATTTTTAAAAATTACTTTTTCCCATATTTCCTTAGAAGTAAGTTCATCTCTATTGTTCATTTTTTATACATTTAAAATGATTTATTTTTTATATAGTTGCAATAGCCTAATGGGTTACATTTTATTCTTGCTTTTCTTTCTTCAATATTATTCTTAAAAATTTAAGTAGAAAAATATTTCTCTGTAATGGCAATTTGCAAAGCTGATCAAAGTCATCTACTAAAATCCAGTTCTCTGTCTGTAAGAAGACATGCTATTGCTGTGTTTCCCAAGGGGTATTCTGTGTGCAGTATTTCAAGGTTAGACATAGTTGTGATATTCTGGATTTAACAAAGTTAAACATGCTTGATTTTGTTTTTTAGCTGCATGCTTTTACAGAATTAGCTTTTTATACTCTATGTTCACTGCAGATCTCCAAGAGGGCGATAGAATATGCAGCATTTGCCAGTTATTGGATCATAGAACACTCTACCCTCAGGACATTTTGTATTGGTGTTTCATGAAACATATTGTAGGAAGTGTTAAATAACTGATTTTACCCACATTTTCTTTCTGTCTAAATTTTAGTATTTTCAATGTGTTTAGGTTTAAACATGCAACGTGACTGCTTGCAATTTATTTCTTTAATTTCTTTAATTTAATTTATTGCTACAACCAGTATGTTCTTTTAAAATGCAAATCTGATCATATCATCCAACTGCATACAGCCTTCAAGTAATCTTCCAGTTTTTCTGAGGATAAAGAGCAGTCTCCTTCATATGACCTTGCACTATAAAACCTGCCATGAGGAAATGAATAAAATACAAAACACTTTGACCACTTCCATTTAATATGCTCTTCTTATACCTTGTTTTGAATAACCACAGACTTTCCATTTACAGCTGAATCAGAATAATTTTATAAGCAGAGGTACCAAGTTCTTAGAATTTAACTGTGGCTGTGCATGTGGCCTTGAGCCAGTCATTGCAAATCTCTTTGTTACACACGCTGATGTAAGTGCAAAAAGCATTTTCACCAGGGGAAGTTCTTATAGTTCAGTGAGATTTTGAACTGGGAGATCACTATTGTAAATGGTGTCAATTAGACTAGTATACAGATTTATAAAAAACCTATAGCTCACATAAGATCTATTTGTTATACTATTAAGATTTTCATGTATAATTAAGAAATAGCTAGTTTATATGGGATAATCTATTTTACTTGTTACCTGAAAGCAATTTGGAAATATTATGCTGATATGTGGAAAAAAATTGTTTTTCTTGAAAATGGAAAAGTAAAACTTATATCTTAATGTTTGTCATGTATATATGCTATTTTGTTGATTTCTGTATCCAAAGGCAGCCTCTCTATTTTCTTGTGTTGATGCAAAGTAAATTATGATTCATTTCCACTACCTTTTCTCCTCAATAAACTCTAGTTATTATTCTATTCTTGTGACATATCAACCAGATTTGCCTATTCCGTACCAATTCACCCCTCTTCTATGTTGTCTTTCTACATTACAGAAGCTGGCCAGCTACAAATTACATGTTGGGAGACACCCTTGCAGATGGGGTTCTACATGTCTTCAGATTCCTCCGAGTGGATATACCCACAGAAAATCCGGAGGCAGAAGTGAGCAATAAGAGGGGTGTGGCACCACAAGGGGAGAGGAGGGTTCTTCTGGGATGTTTGAGGAAAGCAACAAGACTTGTGTGCAGGAACAGAATGAAGGAGGGGAGCATCTCAGGAAGAGAATTGGCAACTACATTCTGCAGGTCCCTGTAAGTGGAAATCCATTGGAAGAGCTTGAGCAGAGAGACATCATTTGACTCAAACTTTAAAGGTATTGCTTTGGCTGATATATTGAAAAGAGAGTGTAATCTAGTAAGATTAAAAATAGAAAGGCTGGTTAGGATGTCATCACAATAATCTAAAGAGAGGTAATGGTGACTCCAGCTGGGTATTAGCAGTGAAGATGGTGAGGGTGGTCAGATCCTGGATATATTTTAAAGGCAAGGCCAAGGGGTTTCCTGTGTTAGGTGTTGCAGATGAGGGATGATTCTTCCACTGGAGGAGTAGATTTGCCAAGTATATCAAAGAGGGTGAGTGCTCACCCATGTCAAATGCTGCCCACAGACCTAAAAGGATGAGAGGATGGAGAAATAAAAATGGGCAATGTGGATGTCACAGGTGACCTAGATAAGAGTAGGTTTGAGGCCAGGTGCAGAAGCTCATGCCTGTAATCTTTGCACTTTGGGAGGCCAAGGGAGGATAATTGCTTGAGGCCAGGAGTTTGAGACCAGCCTGGGCAACATGGTGAGACCCCATCTCTACAAAAGACAGAAAAATTAGCCAGGTGTGGCAGAATGTGCCTGCAGTCCTAACTACTTGGGAGGCTGAGGTGGGAGGATTGCTTGAACCTGCAAGTTTGAGGTCACAGTGAGTTGTGATGACACCACTGCACTCTAGCCCAGGCAACAGAGCAAGACCCTGTCTCAACAAGAAAGAAAGAAAGAAAGAAAGAAAGAAAGAAAGAAAGAAAGAAAGAAAGAAAGAAAGAAAGAAAGAGAGAGAAGGAAAGAATAGGTTTGATGAAGTTGAGTACAAAAGGACACATTGCAGTGGGTCTAAGAGAGGATGAGAGGAGGGCAATTGGAGACAGTGAGTGAAGACAATGCTTTCAAGGCATTTTGCTCAAAGAAAGTCTGGTATTGTGGTTTATAATAAGAAATATGTATTTTGGTCTTGACCTTTGGATTCTGGCACAGAGCTCCTAATCTCTTGGAATTTCCTGGGTGATAGAAGTGTCTTTTTTTTTCTAATAAGGTGACTTTTGGTGAGTTTCTAGATGGGGGCTGATCATCAGAAAGACTAGGCCGTAATTAGAGGCTTGGAACTTTCAGCCACAACCCCATCCTCCAGGAAGGGGAGAGAAGCTGGAGACTGAGTTAATAATCAATTGTGCCTATGTGATGAAGCCTCTATAAAAATTTCTAAACTATGGGGTTTAGAGAGATTCCAGATTACGGAACACATGGTTGTCCCTGAGAGGGTGGTGCACTCTCAAATACTGTGTTGCCCTGAAAATAAGACAGGGTCTTATATTTATTTTTCCTCAAGAAGACATCCTAGGGCTTATTTTCAGGGGATGTGTTATTTTTTTAAGTATGGTACAACAGTCTACACTTATTCAAACATAGTTAAGTCGTCTTCTTCTGGAACATCATCATAACTCTCCAAACCCCGAATTCCATTCTCAATTTCTTGTGTCTCTATTTCCTTTAGAAGCATTGGCCTCAATCTCTCATGTAGAGCAATAGAGCTCTCATGGGGCAGATGAGAAGGGCTGCTCATCTTCTTTACTGCTCTGTGATGAATGCATGGGTTGTGCAGATATGCTGCATAGCCACGCCCATCACTAGGTCTTATTTTCTGGGTAGGGCTTATATTTTGCAAATGCTTAGAAATCTTGCTAGGGCTTATTTTATGGGTAGGTCTTATTTTCGGGTAAACACGGTAGTATGGAAGCTTTGTGTACCTTCCCTCATATCTTGTCCTATGCAACTTTTCCATTGCAATTGGCCATTCCTGATTTTACACCCTTTGTACTGAACTGCTAATCTGGTAAGTAAACAAACTGTTTTCATAAGTTCTATGAGCCACTCTAGCAAATGACTGAACCTGAGAAGGAGTATATGGGAACCTATGATTTGTAGCCAAGTTGGATAGAAATTGTGCTTAATCTGGAGGATGGATCTACTGCATGGGATTGATGTCTGATGTGGAGGGTAGTCTTATAAGATTGAACACTTAACCGGTAAGATCTGATGCTATCTCCATATAGATAGTGTCAGAATTGAGTTAAATTGTAGGACACACAATTATTTTACCATGCATTTGTATGCTAACAGACTAGCAGACAAAATGTGTGTTGTGTTGTAAGAAAGACAGAAGAGAATTGCTAGCATGATATCCTAGAGTAGGAAAGAAAGGATGGCATCCAGTGGTCACCTGCATGGCCCGGTTTACGTGGGTGCAGGAATAGTTCATCTCTAGCAAAAAACAAGAAGGAAGAGCATGTGGGTATAGATATTGGTAGGAGTCTGGAATTTCTCTTAATTGCTTCAATTTTATTAATGAGATAGGACTCAGGATCAACAATCAAACAGTGACTTTGGGATGATTAATAAATTAATTAACGAGTAAGACAGGTGGTGATATTATAACTCTTCAAAGGTTAACTCAGACTGAATCAGGTCTCTAGCCAGTGCCTGGGCATGACTGGATTGAGAGTAAGGAGAAGTGGGTAGAAAGAATAGAGTTTACATTTTCCTAGGAAGATGCTAGTAAGAACTAAGTTGGGAATAGGACCCCATTTAAGAAAATTGGGACTCAGAGTAGGCACTGATTATTGTGGTGAATACAATCTGGAAAACACTGAGAAAATCGAGGCAAAGCCATGAGGAAGAATTGCATAGAAAGGGAAGATTCAGTTTGGTGTATATGGGAGGATGCAGAGAACTCATCCCAGGTACTGCTAGATCCAAGCGGAAACACTAGCTCTGATCCAAACTGTAATATTGTGCTCAAGAGTCAGGAAGCCTGAACAGACATGTGGAAGCCCTTTGTTGCTTGGAGCTTGAGATTGTTGGGATAAACAGAAAATTACATAATTCAGCTTGTTTTCAGTTCTGTCTACATAACGCCAAATGGTGAAATCCTATCAATTATGTTAATGTTTTGTCCACATAAGTCTGGGAATTTAAGCAAATAGCTGAATATTGGGCTTGTTCCAACATGGTCTCTGACATCTCAGAATAAGACTGTAATCTCTAAGGGATAGTAAAATGTCATGATAATGTGTTTCTTTTAAACAATTCAAATGTTTATATACATTGTAACATGTTATTCTAAAGAGGCAGATAGCATTATGTGAGATGGGAAAGCTGTGTGATAGAGATGCAAAACATTCAAGATCACAAAGTTGTGAGTAGCAGATTCAAAACCCGATGCTGATTTTGATTCAATGAACGCTTACTGAATTGCTGTGTGTCAGACACCATGCTGGGTGCTTTATTTTTTTTTTTTTTTCTCTTCCTTATAAACAACCAAAATTTATTTCTCACAGTTTTGGAGCCTGGAAGTCCGAGATCAAGGTGTCAGCATGGTCAGGTTCTGGAGAGGGCGACCTTTTCCAGGTTGCACACTGCAGACTCATTGTATCCTCACCTGGGAGAAAGGGAGCAGGAGAGCTATCTAGAGTACCATTTACAAGGGCACTAATTCCATTTATGGAGGCTCCACCCTCGTGAACTAATTACCTTCCACAGGTTCCACCTCCTAATACCATCACTTTTCGGGGTAGGATTTCAACATACACGTTTGGAGGCACATAGACATTCAGCACATTGCAAAGACTATTCTGAGAAAATTTCCACCACCAAGAAAACCCTATGTTTTGTTTATGCTAGATAATGCGAAATTATGCCTACATCTCGTATTCATCGACATACTCCCGTTATTTTCACTAGTAAGTGATTTCAACTTAAATCTGCCAATATTTTCCCAAGGATGGGCTGTAACTATTTCTCTTACAGAATTCCAAAGCCATGTTTCAGTTGTTTTTTGTTTGTTTGTTTAAAATATCATCTTCTGAAAGAGTTTTTTATACAATGAAGACTATTGTCAACTTATTTGTCAGAAGCAACAAAAAAGCGTTGATGTTATTCATGGTAAGGCAATTAATATCAGTGAATTCAAGTCCTGCTGTTTCTCCAATGAATGATCTGTTTTTGACTGCAGAGTAGTGTGTATAACAGAAAATAAGAGGCAGTAAGAAAACTGTGCCACTTTCCCCCTGCATTCAACTTGCAGTCATGTGTTTATAGCTACTTTAAATGAGTGCTCAGATAATATGGTCCTCTTTGTCATCACTATGCTAGGGCAAGTGATCAGAGTCAAGAAGATCTGTGCTGAAAGAAATCTGTCGATAAGTTGACAAAGTTGATCTCTATAAAGCTAATGGGCTTGACTGTTTAAGTGCATGCTTGGGAGACCATTAAGAAGACAAAACTTCTAACAATTCTAGTGGCAGTGCAGGTTAAAGCCTCAGTTATTTACTGTACTAGTATTTTAAGATCAATATTCCTTTAATTTATACAGTTTGGAACCAAGATAGGACTTTATGTCTCAGTATTTCACTGTGCCATCTGGAGATGGTTATTTTTTAAAAATGTGTATGACTATTTGAAAATTCTGTTATGAGTGTGAAACTTGGAATAGGTGATAATAAAACATATATATTAAAGGTCTTTCTTTAGGAAACATGGGGCCAGGAATTGCTGTACTTGTTACATTTTCAACATATTGATCAAGTTCTCCAGTTTTCCTTTGCTTAATCTTGCTGCTTTTTCGAAACCTGAGTGTGGGGCAGATATTAACGGGTATAGTTACTTTAATAAAGAGCTAACACATTAGAGAAAATCCCAAAGAAGTTTTTAGAAACTCTTATTTAAAAGCTGATTTTCAGTTCAAAAACCCAAATAAAACTAGAATTGAATGATCAATCAGTTCCATTCCTAAAGAAGATCATTTTAATGCTTTAAAAAACAAAGTACTTCTCTTGGAGGTGTCCTCACTGCTTTAACCTCATTTCTTTAATTTTTTATACTGTTTTATATTCATTTTTATTATTTTTTTAATGAACAATACTTTAACGTATTTCAAAAATCAAAACAATGTAAAAAGGTATACACTGAGAAGTTTTGCTTCTTTCTACACATTTCCTTCCATCCCTATAAATGACTATTTTATTCTTTTTTGTGTATGTGCATCCTTTCAGTG